AACATTTAATAAATTAAAATATATATTAATTTAACATTGCTTTAATATCTCTTAAATTTCCTTAACAAAAAGATTTTTTATAAAACGTGCCGCTTGGAAATTTATGGTTATATTAACGATATAAAAAATAAGTCGTTTATCTAAGTATATAATATTAATGATTACTTTATAATTAAAGTTTATATTAAGATTTTTTAAGTTAAATTTAAACCTTTAAAAAACATTACCTTTAATTTAATAATAGTGGTAAAACTTATTAATTTCCTTAATGTCACCAATCTTGACGTTATAACCAGCTTTATTTAACAAGTTATATAATTTATTAACTAATAAATAACCGAAACGAATATATAAACGTCACAACTCCATTTTCGTAAAAAATGTAATATCTTCGAAATAAAATTACAAGTGTTCCTATTTATAAATAACGTTAATAATAATACCATCCTTATAAACCAACTAATTAATAATATTATTAAAATACACTCCTAATCAATCTATATCCTTTAATAACAGAAAAAATAAAATGTCGATATCTATAACATAAAAATCGATACAACTAAAAAGGATATTAATAATAATTATCTTAAAAGATTTTATCGATTATCCGTCTCTAAAACGAATCTAAGCTTTTTCTACGCAGGATTTATCCATCGTAACTCGTTTATTAAAATGCTTTTTAATAAAAATTAAACATTATCCCTTTCCAACCATAAATACTTAAACAACACCTATATTAAACATAATGCCTTAAAAAACATCTTTTATATATCGGTTTAAGAAAAAAATATTGTTAATTATCGCTACGTTTAAAAAAAAGCAAGCAATTATACGATACTAAAAAACTTAATTAAATAAGTGGGTAACGATTAAGAAAAAATCGTTATTATTATTATAATTTACTTTTAATATTACCGCTTCGTTTTTTTATTCCGCTTTTAAACCGAAATCATTAAGTCCCTTATAATCCGCCAAAAATGTTACGTAATTCTTAATTAATAAGCCACACTTACTCTTCCATTCCTCTTTAACCTTCTTTCGTTTATATTTAAAATATTTAATAAATTAATAACCTTTTTTCTTATAAACCTAACATTTGCGTTTTTATAATTTAAGGGACTTTTTAACATTATACTTGCCACCCTTATCTATTTTATGGTATTTATAATCCACATAAAATTAAACGTTTTCTTCCTTATTATCGCTATTATTAATACATTTATAATTATTTAGCCTAGCCGTTTTAAAGATTTCATAGGTTTTAATTAACGCTTAAAGCTTATTAATTAAGTTTTTAAACCTTAATAATAATTCAAATAAAGCATATTATAATTAAGGTATAACATAACAAACGTAATAAACAAATATAATAAGTTATTATTCCCCTTTAAATTTTAAGCTAAACGCTCATTAATATAAAAAAAACTTATCGAAAAAAACTTATAACATTTTTAAGTTACTTTTTCTTGCATTTTTCTTGTCATTTTTAACACTAAAAAACGTTATTACAATCCAATTATAATAATATTAAATCTTATTTTATTCAATATTAAAATGTCGTTTTATAACTAAATACATATCCGTAAAAATCTAATAACATGAGACATTATAAAGAAAATATAAGGCTGCTTTTCTTATAAAAATTATAAAAAATATAATATAAAATTACGTTTATTATATTCCTACTATATAATAAACATTAAAAAAAAATCGAAACTTATCTTCGAAAATATCGTATAACTCGCTTATATAATTATTCTTATTATTCCAAGCCTTCTTAAAATAACTAATAATAATTAATAAACATATCTCATTAAAAACTCATATAAAAGGAATATTATAATAAATAATACCTTCTTAATTATTAATAAGCATTTATACTTACCACTATTAATTAAATATTAATAAAAGCAATAATATTATTTAAAAAAAGAAACTTAAGTTTTTATTAAAATAATTTACTCCTTCTAATATAAATTCTAAAAATAATATTAAAAATATAAACAAACCTTTCAATAACGATTTAAAGAATCTTATACCATTTCCTAAGGCCACTTAATTACCTTATAACTGCCTTTCTTAATCACTTTAACCAAATCTTTATCATAAAATGTTACTATGTGAGAACTTAAGTAAAAGATTTTTAAGATTCGACAGCTATAAAAAGGATACTTAAGGTAATATTAATCTTTAAAATAATAGAAATAATTAGAATAAATTAAAAAATCCAGCCTTAATAAATATTTAAGTAAAAGGAAGTAAGCTATCACCTATTCATTAAATAAAATCCAACGGCTATATAACCAAGTTTTATAATTAGTTAAAAGGAAAAAAAAATAAATAAAACCTTAAAAAAAAGGTTATAAAGTTACGAAAAGATTAAAATAAAAAGGGTAGTAAGTTTAAAAACGGTCGTTTTCTTAAAGTAAGGAAAAATATAATAAAAATAATAAATTAAGCAAAATTCTAAGGCGTTTATAATACTCGTACTAACGATTACCTTAACCGTTATACCTTAAAAATAACCAGACCTAATTTCATTTAATACACAAATACCCTCTAAATTAACGCATCAAGCCATCTTATTTAAGCTTATATTAAGTCTTAAAAGCGCTAACATAATAGCCTTTACATATTTATTAAATCAATTAACTTTTTTATATAATTATCGTTACTTTTACTTATATAAATCCCTTATTACATAAGTACGTTTTATAACACCGTTCGTAACACCCTTAACATTCCACTAAAATCATCTAAATAAAATATGTCGAAATATCTTTTATATTTTTTAAATATCTCCTTTATTATGCAAACGTAGCTAGCACTTTTATCGGTTATTTTAAAATTAATAAAAGCTAATAATACTTAAATATTCTTCTATTCTTAAGTGGTAAATGATAATATTTCGTCTCACCTAACAACCTCTAAGGCAAATTACTACTTTAATAATATTATTTTACCGGAAACAAAATTTAATAACTCGTATAGCTCGTTTATATCTTCTTAAATAACAAAGTTAACATTAATATTATAGCTTTTAAATTATAACTAAAGCGCCGGAAGTGGTATTAATCCTCCTAAAGTAGCCATCGTATTAATAATTAATGCAAGTAAATTTAAAAAAAAGAAAAAGTATAAATCGATATCATTATATAATAATAAAGGTCTAAAACGGTTAAATAAGGCAAAATTATATTTTATTATAAATAAAATATAAACATTAGAAAAATAGTTACTAATATCGCTTATATTATTATAATAAAATCTTCTAAATTATTATAACAATAACTCTTTTAACCTTATTAATTTATATTGCTAATAATTTAACAACACTAATTAATATTAATAAATACGTACATATAATAAATCAAATAACAAATAAAGCAAAAACAATAGGAATAAAACTAGTGTAATATTAATATTTAAGAAAAGAGGTTTAAATTTAAAAATAAAGAAAGGATTTAACTCCTTATATAATCTAAGTTATATAAATACCTTCTCCAGCCATATACGTACCGCATTAATACGTACCCTTATCATATAACCACTAAAAAATAATAATAAATATAAACTATTAATATATAAAAAGTATTAAATTTTTATTATATAAAATCTTTTATGGAAATTTATTAATTAAAATATTTAAGTAAAAGTATTTTTTAGAAAATTTAAGTTTATTAATACGTTATTTACGAAATAATAAAACGAAATTTTTTTTGGTTAAAGATTAATTTAATGATTTAATAATAAACTATTTAATAAAGCTTTAATATTATTAAAAAACGATTTTTTAACTAAAAAAAAAAAAACGGTTAACATGTAATTATATATATGCCTTTTATATGTTTTAAATAAAAAAAAATAACTTAATAATAATTTATTAAAAAAAGTAAAATTTTAAAATTTTAGAAAAAATAAACGGAATCTTTTATTATAGAAATATAAATTAAATAGTTTTTATATTAATTTTATAATTTAAACGGATTTATTATTGAAAAAATAATATATTATAAAAATTGTTTTAAACGTTTTTTTCTTTAAATAAGTTATTTTTAAATAGATAATAAATTAACTTTACCTTTATAATTATAATTATAAAAAAAAAGATTAAAAAGGAAAAAGGATAAATAAATATAAGAAAGGAAGGGGATGTTTATGTTTATATTTTTATGTTTTTTTTATAATTATATCCTTATAATTTTCTTTTATTTATTTTTTTCCTTTGTTAATAATTTTATTTATTTATATTTTTATTTTTTTTTTTTTCTTCTATTATAATTTTCTTTATTATTATTTCATTTGTTAAGGTTTTTTTTATTAACATTTTGTTTCTTTTTTTTTAAGATTTTTATTATTTTCCTTTATTTTTTTCCTTTTTATTAAGAATTATGAAATTTTTTTTAAGGATATTAAGCTTTATTATATAATTTAAAACTCTTTTTATTATATTATTATAATATTATATCTTAAAAAACGGGCTGTTTACTTAATTTATATCTTTCCTAATAAATATTGTGGCAAATGTCATTTATTATAGATAAGATAAAAGGATATAAATAAAAAACTTATTTTATAGGAATTAATCTTAAACCTTTTCTCTTTTTTAATATATAATCTATTTAAAATTAGTAAATCTTTTCTATATAATACTAATAACAACAGATATTACTTATCCTAAATACCTAAATAATTATACCTACTAAATACCTAATAATAGGTAATATGTATGTGTTTGTTGTATAAAACTTTGAAGTCATATCATCACATAATTGTACGTTCAATTTGCTGTAGATTCTAGACTCCATGATGGAAGGCGCGAACCCTCAATGGAGGTAACGCCAAGGCTGAGGCTGCACCAGATTACCGGGCCCCGCCTAACAACATTTTACTCATCAGTTACTGCTGGCTACAGGTAATCTGCACACCCTAGCCACCTGCATATTAAATGGGTCATTTGAGCTGGGGACTACCAATAAGAATTTGTGGAGAAGAAAAGAATGAAAAAAAAACGCCAAAAACTCAAAAGCCATAGGAGCAAAATAATCTCAAACTGAAGAATATCAAAAACACATTCACACTGATCACACCTATATCACACTTATGAAAACCCCCTCCTAACTGCATACATACTACATACAGTAGCACACTACAGTAGGCAGAAAAGGATAGAAAGAAGCATACCTACCCAATCTTGCATTTCTTTCATTTCTTACATCTCTTATTTCTCGTATTAACACTTTCACGTGAAAACCATTACAACTGTTTATTTGGTTTATGATCGGCGATTATAGTATTAGAAGAACAAGGGGTCAGTCAAAGCTGCTGCTTCTGCAATGTTGACCGAAAGTTATTTCGTGTCCATATCAGGCCCACCATTGGCCAATAATACGGCCATAGTAAAAGACGCCGGCATCTACGAGCAGACACTTCACCCAAACCATTCCACCACCAGTACATTCAAGAAGAGCTTTGCTCCTCCAAATTGTCTAGCCGTTAGCGATACTCATGTATTCGCCGCTCAGGAAGAGAAGTCAACAGTTCATGTTTATTCAAGAGCAAAGGGAAACCAGGAAGCTTTGGTCACCTTTCCCGAACGCATCCGAAGCATCGCCTTACTAGGCGATGTCTTATTCTTGGGCACACAAGAAGGGAGATTAATTGTATGGGAGGTTAGTTGGCTAATGGAAAAAGCTTCTCATCTACTACTCATCTTCCTCTAGCTTTCCTTACTAATAAATTGCTTCTATAGGTTTGTACTGGTAGACAAGTAACTACTCCTGCCTGTCATGTTCAAGCAGTAACATGCATTGCTGCTACACCTTATCATCTTGTCACTGGGTCTGATGACTCCAATATTTACGTATGGTCTGTCCCTCGCCTGCTGGAACTGGACTCAACTATTGAGCATGAACCTCTCGAAACTTTGCCAAATCATCGGGCTGCCATCACCTCCCTCGTTGTAAGTCAAAGTGTGAATCCCGACACCAACATTTGCGTGTCGGGAAGCAAGGATAAGTCCTGCATAGTATGGAACTATCAACTGGGCGTAGCTCTTCGGACGATCTTGTTCCCGAGCTCCCCCCTCTGTGTGTCTCTTGACCCGTGTGCGCGTGCTATCTACATCTCTTCTGATGACGGCTCACTCTACGCAGTCGATCTATTTTCCGAGAAGGCATTGCTAGGCCCTCACGCAGAAGCAACCTCTACAGCTATTCAAGTTTCATCCGCCTTTGGAGCATCGCCTCAAGAAGCAGGACCGGCGTCGTGCATGGCATTGAATTACGACGGCACCATCTTGATATCTGGGCACCCGCAAGGACATATTCTTCGATGGGATTTGAGCGGCCGTACTGATTCCACCGAGTTATCAAATGTCAACGCAGCTGTTACCAATATCGTATTCGTCTCGCCGCTTCCATACTCGCGCTCAACCAAGCCTATCGAGGTAGTCAAGCCATTTATGGGAAGTCGAAGCTATAATTTCACCGCTCAGCTAGATTCCAGTATGGAAGCGGAAACGAGATTCAGTAAAATGCTCAAGACTAACGGACTTCCCAATGATGTGCTGGAACAAGCCATTCTCGCTTTCCAGGCTCCCGATCTCGATACTGTCGGGGACCAAGAGCTGAGGAAAGAGAACGAGGAGCTTTGGGAGGTGGTTAATGAGCAAAGAGCCCTTCAGAAGAAAACTCTCCAGAGATATCTTGACGCCAAATCGGCAAACGCTTGAAAGATAGTCCCTCGTCCTTTTCAGTACTATTATATGCTGGCCTGGATGTGGTCAAATAGCCCTTGCCATACGCTAGCACCATCGCAGTATATCTAACAGTCCCACTGTTTGTATCTATATATACTACTCAGATCTCAGGACGACAGGAGCCGAAGCCCGGTGTACGAAAAAGGGGAGTATGTTCTTCGATTCATCTCATCGACCAACTCCAGAACACCATACGGAAGCCGAGGTAGTGTGAGGTCGATAGCGAAAGACGAGGAGAGGAGTTGATGGTAGTAGATATACTGCATACGGCGGAGAGTAACACATATATCCATTGGGGGGCCTACAATACAAATATGGACCGGTCGCTTCGTCCGAGCTTTCACGTCATTATTCTTAAAGAACTACTCGAGCTCTATTACGGAAGAACCCTCGCTCATATACCGCCGAGAATTGGATTAGGATTTGGGTCTGGTACTGGGGACACCAATTAGGGATTTATGTGGTTTGGCCTCAGAGCCTCAACTGGCATAGTCAGCAAAGCACATACGCCAGTTCCGGACATTGGGTAAAGAGTTGAATAGAAGGATGTGTACCTATGTAGGTACTCGAACTGGGGGGACTAAGTAGTTAATAGGCAATATGAAGCTTGGCCTCAGGAGCATCTCAGGAGAATCTCAAGTTCAATCTAGCCAATCCAAAAACCATATTTTTACCGTGATAGTCAAGCCTTCAACGTTCTAGACCCGATTCCCCGTAGCCACGTACTTTGGTTGTCCCCTCCTCTTAGCTGCTGGCCCGTACCAAACATGTCCCTCGTATGAACTAACTACCTAACTACCTATGCACCACAACATCTTCCCCCACTCCCCCCCCCCCTTATGGAAAATGCCCATACATCGACGAAGTATGGACGTACCAGCCTACGCAGCTGAAGTGACGTTATTCCTCATCTTCGCTGTTACGTATGTAGGTACGGGCCATGTATATAAAAACTACCCCTTTGATAGTAGAGAGGCGTATACTATGTATGTACAATACGTACGGACGTAAGTACCATCCTATAATGTACCTATATTGGTAGATACCTACCTACCCAACTTATCCCCCTCCCCCCCCTTTTTTTTCCTCCCCTCCCTACGTCACCAACGTCCCTATCACCCATATCCACCTAGCTAGCTAGCTACCTAGCTATTCTAGTGTCGAGTCCAGCTTGTTTCCTACACCGTACACACACACACACACACACACACACACACACACACACACACACACACACAATAGGATGCCACTACCCAGAAATGCCACTTACCTATACAAAACAAACGAACGAACGAACACAGGCAAAGCAACCTACCTACCTGCCTACCTAAGGCCAGGCCAGGCCAGGCCAGGCTCTCCTCCCCCACCCATAATAAGCTTGATCGTCCCTCCCCTCCTGTCACTTGCCGATTTATATCCCTCTTTCAGTCACTATTGCAGCTAGCAGCTAAAAAAAAAAAAAAAAAAACTGCAACCAGGAGAAGGAAGAAAGCTTTGCTTGATTCCTAACTACGCTGGCGCAGTGCAAATAACTAGTTATAGGTATGTACCTATAAGGCAGCTCTAGCCTAGTGGGGCTAGGAGCACCTGCAACAGTTACGGAAACCCCAAACCCCAAACCCCCCCACCCTCCTTTTCCTTCTCCCCTTTAAGATCAGAGACGCCAACTTGTTGAAATTCGAGGATAAATAAACAGTAAGTAAAAGCACGTGAACCTACCAGGTACCTACGTGCCTACCTGAGCTATTGTTCATTGCTTTCTTCGTCTTCCATAGGTAAGAAGGCTAAAAATCAAAGAATTAGCTTAATCGTCATCAACCAAGGCAGCTAATCAACCACCCCCTTTTCATCGGCTATAACGATCCTACACCTGGTTTGAAGAAAGCAGAAGAATTTCAAGGTTAGAAGAAGAAGGCAACACGAAACGTTTGATCGTATTGAAAAATACCTATTCCACCTCGCTAATACCTATTTATCAGCCCGAAGAATATAAAAAGGATACAGAGTTTGTTGGATGATACTGTGGGGTATATGTGTATATATCTTCTCATGCGGAAATGCCCCAAACCCCCCTTTCCTTCTTTTCCTCCCTTTCCCTCGCCAACATATGAAGTAGCAAAAGCAGGATACAATGGAAAACAAGTTTTTCTTTTTCGCCTGAGCAGTTTCGGATCTTAGATGATCCTTTCTCAAAAGTCCAGAAAAAACAAAACAAATGTGCCCCAAGAAATACCCGCTCAACATATAGGTGTAATAACGAAATGTAAGGAAACCTTGGTTGCCCATATCAGTAATTAGAACACTGTAGTTGGCTGACTCTTGATCAAATGCAATGCCATCGATGCAATGAGAGATGAACATGCAATCCACCATAAAACCCCTAAACGCACGCTCTTGAATTCGAATTAATTTTCGCCTAGAAATCGTCCCAGAAAGAAAAGGACCGGCCAGACGTCGGTCGGGAGAAAAGAGCTGTGGAAGGACGCCAAGGTACAAAGATTCAGAAGCTTCTCTGATCCTTGAAAGAGACGTCATTCCGACCCAAGGAAATTACTTGTGTGAGTGTCCTAATCCTAGAGCATGGTGAAGCCATAGTATGGCTAATAATTTCCTCATGCCTCTCGAGTTTCCCGGTGCTGGGTAGCGATCGTGTATGCTGTGAGAATGAATCCTTATACACCCGAGCAAGTTGCTGTCCCGGTCCTATGAGTATCCATTGGCAAGGATATCATAGAATAACGCATTTGGGTCGACGGCTTGAATCCCGGTCCTTGTCCTTCCGCCTCCTGCGCTTTTTATAATATGATATAGAGTACGGGTCAAATTTGTCGTCCTGTTCCTCCACAAATATTTCCCCAGCGTCATCCTTTCGCAGCATTTGTCGACATAAGTCGATAAATACTTCGTCAACGTTGGCTTGTAGGAGTCAGCTTTATTTATCCCAAGAGCAACACATTTCTAGAAGGTCAAAGGTAGGTAGGAATGTATGTATACACAAAGACAGGGAGAGAAGAAATCCACCTACTCTTCGTTCGAGCACTGGCTTCGTAGTATGGCGCGCCCCATCTCTGCGAGATTTGGAATCCCTTGGTTCGGGGCACGGACCGCTGGTCTTCGAGATCGGCTTTGTTCCCACAGATGACGATTGGCACAGTCTCGTCGTCCTTGATGCGTATGATCTCATCACGAAGCCCCGCAAGCTCAGCCAATGACGAAGCTGAAGTGATACTAAAAACCAATAGGAATCCCTGACCAGTCTTCATGTAGAGATCGCGCATGGCAACTGAACTTGGGTTAGCATAATACAAAACTAGGGGGGTAGTTGGGTGTTGTTGACTACCAAACTGCTCAGTGCCGGCAGTGTCGAGACTGTGTCAAGTTAGCACTTTAGCATTGAGGGGGGGTGAAATGAAGGGGTGGATCATGATTTGTATTTGTGGGTGATGTCTTACATCTCCAGAACAACCTGGCGGCCCTATTGTCAAATGTGTTAGTAGTCGAGACCAAACTAATTAGGTGAATTACCTAAGGTAAATAGCAAATCACACTTACATCAACGGCCACTTGAGTGCGATACGAGTCTTCTATTGTCGGATCATAACTCTCGATCCATTCGTTGTGGACAAACTGAGCTATCACAAATTGAAAAAACGATATGTTAGCAATGAGATTGTATAATTTGAGAAATGACGCATAGGACCTGAAGAGATCCTATCTCGGGGAGAATCTTTTCTTTTAATTTCAATTTAATTCAATCCAATCAGAATTGGCTTGATGTCAGGGGGGATATGTGAGAGAGAGAGGGAGAGAGAGTGCATTACCTGTAAGACAGCTCTTTCCGACACCGCCTAATAAAAATGTTAGTGGCGGTTACGCACAAAGCTGAAAGGGTGAAAAAAGCCCAAGAAAATGTTTTGACGTGGATGAGAATTTCGATATAGTTGATTGATTTCACATAGCGAGGATAGATAGATAGGTAGGTACATGTAGTCAGACAATGACAAACTCACCTGCACCTAACACGACAACATGGAATTCCCTGCTATTCGCAGAAAGCGCGATGTTAGCTAATTGCATAAGAATAACTATACAAGAGATAGGTGGAGGATGAGACGAACGCTGGTTGGTAACGGTTCTGTCTTGGAGGCATGATTTCCAATTTCCAACTCCTACTATAAGTAGTCCTACTCCTACTCCTACTCCAACTTTGGCCTCAATTTCGGCTTAAGCTTCGAGATAGCTTTGAGCACGGTGTTTGTTGTAAAAGCGCATCAGAAGCGCCGAGGTTGGGAATTGATCAGCAACCCAAGATACGGCAATCCGTCAGCCCTGTAGCTGTTGTTTGTCACTGACGCGACAAACGACAGAACGGGCGACTAGGAATAATTTGGCCGTTTGCGCCTAGAGGGTATCGTCATCCAACTTAAGAAGGGTTGAGAAAGTAAAAAAATAAAAAAAAGATTATATATATTTTTTTTTATTTTCTTCCCCTAGACAAAAGAGCCGGACTGATAACGTCAGACAGCTAAAGTAGGAGGTAGGGGTTTATTAAAAAAATCAATTCAGATAAAGAGCCGCCTTGCCCTGTTTGAATTGAAAGTTGGGGCGGGGTGACCAAAATAAAAGCGCGGCTGGCCCCTTTCCTATTAGAGCAACCCAGTTAACCAGGGAAGGGATCGGACGCAGCGATTATTTTCGGCACGCCCGTAAGGGAACAGGAGGAGAGCTCAGAGGTAAAAGGATAAAAAAACAAACAAATAGTTAGATGGATGGAGAATTGAAGATGATTAGGGGGCCAAAAAGAGGGGTATATGGATATATAACAAAATAAGGTGAATAAGAAAATGGTTGAATGTTGAATGAAATGCAACAGCATATATCTGTACGAACTACAGATATGTACGTCTATCGGTATGTTTGTATGGTCACTGGTATGGTATGTAGGTATGTGTGTACGTGTGTATGTACTTACTAGCTACAGCAGCGGCAGCAGCAACGATGACATATGCAGCCAGCACATACCCAGAAAAATATGCAACCTAGTTTCGGTGATCAGTTAATAGTGGGAGTGTGTAATCACTGTAATGGGCTGTGGGAGTAGTGGGAGCAAGTGGCAGAGTGGGAAGAATAAATGGGTATCGGTATGGGTAAAATGAACATCGAATTTGACGACAAAGATGCACAGGGATCTAATAAAAATAGTACATATTATAGGTTGTTCATAGTTATTTGAAAAGTTGAATTACCTACATAGTACTTTAAGATCAAGCAACATGAATAGGAGAAAGAAGAAGAGAATAACTACTAGTGTCTGGTATTGGCAATGGACAACTAACATTTAAAGGCAGTAGTGGGCAGTAGTACAAAGTATTAGTATTTGTTCAAGTTGTTATTACCTTCAATTCTTAAAAGTTGTTATGAACCCCCTTCCTTCCTTTTTGCTGTAGCTCTGAGGCGAAGGTTTCAATGTCCTTGTGTCGAACATTGAACATGATGTGTTTGTAAGGTACCCCTTGATAGGTACGATGTATGTATGGATGGCACCTCTACATATGAGTCTATGTAGGGCTACAATGTACATGCAGAATCTCTCCGGTCGGCTACTTCCAAGCTTAATAGCCAGTGAGCTAATAAGGCAAGGTGATGGATGGGTCACTGCCAATTAATACTACATCATAGTATACATGTACATAGTATCATTGATGTATGTAGATGAGTGGAATGTATTGATGTACATACATATGTAAACTTTGTGTACTACAACATGTATGTATGATCGGCCCGCCTTTTGTATGTACGTTCAATGTTATGTATGGCCCAGTATGGGCGCGTTTATTAATGTTGTATCGTTCTTTCCTCCCACTTACATAGAGACCCTCCAATGCTGTGCTTCTTAGTGCAATGGATACCTTTATTACCTTAGGTAGGGTACATAATATGTATACCTGGCAGTGCTGGGCAGGAACGAAACAGGGTGGTTGATGGCGGCAGAATGTAAGCTTCCAAGGTTATTTCTGCAGGCGCAGGCGCAAGCGCTAGAGGACCGGCATTAGAAAGAAACATTGAAGCATTAAGACCCTACATCTGCAGCAGCAATGTGCAATGTGTATCCACTGTAATCCATGGCATACTTTTAAGTTACTTCTGTACTCTTGTACAATACAGTACTATGCAGTACATCACTGTAGTACTCCGAAACAACATTGAACTCACCACAGTGACCACACGCCGATTGGAAGGCGCCTGTTTCCTTTGGTTTCTTTGGTGGTGGATGCGCTTTGGGGTGCAGCCTGTGCAGGTGCTTGGTCGTACAAATTCGTGCAAGAATACCCAATAAGAAGCAACAGTCTGCAGTATGCCAACCTTGCGAAACAATGAAATACCTAGGTAAGGTAGGTAAGGTAGGTAAGGTAAGGTAATGCAACTTCAAAGTTTGACTTTCTTGAATCCTCCCGCCTTTTCTTCCAACGTAGCGGTAAACCTTCAAACTACCTACTACCTACTATGTACCTAGGCATGCATGTGTTGGACTAGTTGAAACAACTGTTGCCATCATCTACAAAGATTGATTCGTTCAATTCTTTTGCCTCACCTATCTCAACCTTACATATTATACCTATACCTACCTATACTTCGTACATCTCGCTATATTCCATACCTATATGTATACATCAAGTCACTACTAACATTGAACCTACTAACATTGAACTTGAACCTTGGATAGATAAGGGATTGTCTCGTCTCTAAATTTCCCCCGAAACAGCACTTGAGCTTTACAAATCAGCACGTAACACATCACACATCACACACTCATACTACGAATATGTACACACACACACACACACACACACACACAAAGCATTAGAGGATTAGCATTACAGTTACAGTGCTTACCTAACCTTTTCTTCTGAAGTTCCATCTCTTTTGATCCTGCACCAACACCCACCTGGCTACTAGGCATGCTAGGGATGCGAACACTTTCGCATCTGCTTGCTGGCTCGGACTATGTCTGATCTGATCTCGTGCATACCCTCCAGCCCACAGTCACAGATGAGATAACTGGGCCTCGTAGCATGGAGAAGGACCCAGTATAGGAACCTATACGGGTCGAACTTGCATGGGACAGGCCCGTTTATACCTCCTTTTGGACAGTTTCTCCTCATCGTTTACCAATCGGTCTGTGCTTTTGCAGCTTCGCCGGACACTGGTGGCATTGATTGCTCGAATATCAAAAAGCTGCCGGGTCGAGATGGTAAATGTGGATGGACGTCCGCGAATGCCGGGTCATGGCTAACTCGAATGCGTGCGGCGAAACCTTGCACAAGCATCTGGTTGGGCTGAAAAGATGCAAATCGCATTTGTCCATCGATTATCCTCAAGTACATAGCTACGTGTCGGTGAAAATATCTGGCAATGCAGCTGTCTGTTCATCCGAGCGTTCCCGAAGACCCGAATATCTACCTACCTGCCTATCCAGTCTACACTAAGCAGCCTACCTCCATACCGGTGACCTGGATTGCGTGGTCCATCCCACACTCTTAAACGTTTTCCCGAATCTGGGAAGTCGGTCGAGTCCTTACATAGTATTATGTACTATGGTAAGTAACTAGGTTAGATGGATGGATGGACAAGGCCCCTTGTGACAAGGGAATCGGAGCTTTAAATTCGAAAATTCGAAAATAAGTTAAGGAACCCCTGTCAATATTGTAATATTGTACTATTACCTCTACACGTGTATGACACTGTATGTATTAAACCACCAGCGCAAGGTATTATCTCTTTACTACAGCCATCACCTATCACCTGACACGAACCAGCTGCGCACCCCGCACAGCCTTCAGGGCGAGACGCATTTGATTCAAGCATCTGGGCAGCCTTGAAAATTATGATCACTGTTATCATACGAACGCACGTACTTATAATAGTAAGTATTCAACGATATCCTGGCAACAAGTCCATTTCCAGGTGAAGGATTCAAGATTCCACCGCTAATTACATAAAGAATCCGGCTTATTTGATACATGGTTTAATACAGGCATATCCTGGTTGACATGTCAAATAGAAAACGGTCGATCCAGCTCCCCGGAGTCGTTTAGTGCATAATGAAGTGCTAGGAATCTAATAGTCCCTTAACTTTAGGTACTAAATATTACTAAGTAAGTAATACCTAGTACTAACCGTTAGGTAGGTAGCCCCCCACTTACTAGGTACTAGGTTTGTATCCACGTTCTTTCAAAGCCCCGGGCCTGGAGGTCGAGAACTAATCAACCCTAGGATTAATCACCTTATCCATGAACCTTAGTAAGTCATTTATTAATATCACCTGGTTGATATCACCTGGGCAGTCTTGAACTTCACCTGGGCACCATCCCACATATCCGATTTAATGCATCTTGGCCTCTTGCTCGCGTAAAATATAATCATTTGAAAACAGCGGACCAGCCAACACAACTAAAGCCATCTCGTGTCTCGTGCCCCCTCCAAGACTCTATGGCTTTATTATTAAGTCGCTCTAACTTATTCTTTGAACCCGTTCCCGAGCCGTCGAATGATATTATGATGCATCTTCCGAATGCCACAACTTCAAATGGAATGTCACCTATGAAGGTTCCGAACCTACCAAGACCTCTACCACTACCTACCTAAGACATATCTAACATAAAAGCCATCTGGGCATACTATAGACACTGATAGGATAAGTAGCGGAACTCCGATTTATCATAGGTCCTAACTTTAAGCGAAGCTTCAACTTGTTTGAGCCATAAAAGCTTGGTCATTCTTGTCGGTATACAGTTCAAAATATAATTGGCCGACGCGGATCGAGGCGAATAATCCTCTATAGCTGAAACCAACACTGGCAACATTAGCTTGATCGACCTGCATAAACTGTTGTGTTCTCTCGGGTCGCATCGCGTGTCACATCTCCACGATATACGTAGGAATGGATGGCACTACTCATCAAGAAATAGGGTCACAATTATCAACCTGGCACCTAACACCTAGGCTTGCTTACGTTTCAACTTGAACACGTCTTCTGTGGGGGTGAACTTTTGTCACTCCATTTCCAATGCTTTTAAAAATTCCTTCATTTTCTTCTCATCTTGATATTGCTAGGACCACTACCACCACGCGTCGTGGTGTATGACAAGACTTCGACAGAGTTTTCAGCCTCGGCTCAACTTCATACCTGTCGTGCGATATCGTCATTTCCTATCCTTTTCCTGGATCCGGGGCTACATTGTACAACTATCTCGTATTGTCCTTCTGTCGACGATTATCACAGTTGCGACGTAGTGGATATTCGTGCGCTTGT